CTGATATTACAGATGTTCATAGACTACGGTAACCACTTACCATCAGAAGGGCCTTATGCTTGTTTGCCACCTCAGTGTTATAAAAAAAATTACCCTGTTCCTTATGACAATCTATGGGAGAGGCCTATGCTTAGCAATAGACACATAAAGACAAATATAATGATCATCATGATATCTTTAAATACGAATTTACATAATTTTACCTCAGAGATATTTCTAAAATGTAAAAAAAAAAGCTTCATTAATTATTTGGAGTCGTCCGTTTTTTTCCCAACGGATATTAAATTTTCCCTTAATATGCCTACGGGAAGATAATCAATTAACCTAAGTTTTCTGACACGGGTTTACACGTAATGTTTTATCGAAAATTTCACAAGCAAGTGTGTGCGATCTATAATATTAGAAATGGAAGTGTACGTAGCCAACTCAAGTGTTTAATTATGTTTGGGGGAACGTTCATTAAATCCTATTTAAAAGGGTTCACCGTCATGAAAATAAGCTGTAAACTGCTTCATAAGACGAGGTGGGGTGGGGGGCGGGGGCAACGTATAATGGCGAATCTGCACTTGAATGTCAATTAAGTGAAACTGTATATTACACGTTGTAAATGTAGACACGTTCAAGATGAACTCGCCAAGATTTTGAGGAACCAATGTCATATATTCCAATAAGTGGTGGGTTTTCGAACAGTTCTTATATGTATGAGGGGTTGATATGTTCTAATATGAGTTCTAATATGTATGAGGGGGGGGGGGGGGGGGGTTATGGGTGAAAATGGTATAGTAACCCCGCCTGCGCTAACGGGATACACTGGCGGAGCACCAGTGAAAGGTGATAGATGAGAATGGAAACAGGCCGGTTAGCCCATCATGATGAATTCATCAGGAATTAACCATGATAGTTTCCAGGGATAACCGCGAGGAGGTCGACCTAGTTGGGTATATTGCTAGCAATCCCTTTCCCCCCTGTAGGGGGGGGGGGGTTAGGTGAGGGGTAACGAGATTGTAATGGAGTGACGAGTAGCAATGGAGTTTGACAACCCCATTGCTAGCAATATGCCCTATCAAGTCGACTTCCACGTGGTTCCCCCTGGAAACCAATTTGAACAATTCTTGTTGAATTCGTCACGATGGGCTAACTGCTCATCTTCATCCTCACTTATCATCCTTCACTGGTGTCCCGCTGGGGTTATATATATATATATATATATATATATATATATACAAGACTTGCAAGACAGAATTGACAGCTAAAGACCACTATCCTTACATACGTATGTCTTGCTTCCTGCACTTCATAACTTGCCTCTTGCATGCAGGCCTGTTCCGGAAACTCTTGACATTTCGTTCGGAAAGGAAACGGTTTATCTGATTATAATAACTTAGTCTAGATGATTTTAATTTTTAGGGTTCCGTACCTCCGAGGGAAAAAACGGAATTCTTATATGATCACTTTGTTGTCCGTCCCTCCATCTGTTCGTCGGTTAAGACCTTTTTTCTTAAGAACACGTGTAGGTATCAAGTTGAAATTAATATCATATACTCAAATCTGCAATCTCTTAAAGCAGCGAAAAAATCAAGCTTCTAAATTGACGCAATCAAAAAATACGGCCGTTTATGTTCCATTTATATCGCATATTTTGACGTCCGCAAAGGGAATCAAAACCTGTAGGGTACTTCTCGTTGACCTAGAATGATGACATTTGACAAGAAGCAATATCATGTAGCACAAGTAAAGGAAACAATCCGAAAACTGTAAATTTTTCGTTATTTCACAAAATAAAATTAAACGTGATAAGTTTATACCGGACCCTCGTTGCGCGAGTCCGACTCGCACTTGACCGGCTTTTTATATAAGTCGAGCCTATTTCCTGGTAGCTCTGCAATTATTAAATACTCGTGTATTATGTTAAATAACAGTCCATAAGCGTGTGAAACACATTGGCAACATTGAAGCAACATTCGCGTAATACCTAGATTATGACACGATGACATCTAGTACGGTGGAGTAGGAGGGGGGATTGTTAGTAATTTGGACTCCCAGTCTTATTGCTAGCAATATACGCTATCAGGTCTACCTCCACATGGTCCCTCCTGCAAACCATCGTACTGAATTCCTGGTGTATTCACCACGATGGGCTAACTGACCTGTCTTTCCATCCTCACCTATCATCCTTCACTGGTAGGCGCCAGTGTATACCGTTAGCGCAGGCGCGGATACCATTTCATTATCATCCATTAATAAAACATCAAGTCTTAGCATCCACTAATTTTTCTATCATATTTCATCTCGTATTTTACCCAGGCAGCTCGATGCCAGAAATATATGACACTTCAGAGCAGACGACATCTTTCAAAGTCACCACCGGTTCTCGTACAAAAGTTTATCTGTTAAATTCTTTGACATTTGAGGGAGTTCACAGAATTACTGAATAAGTTGCCTCTTTTTCTTGCTATAGATTGATAGGGAAAAGTTAAATATGAGTGGTGCACAATACGAAAAGTTGAAATCGTTAACGACAAAGTTAGAGACGAAATACATTTGTGAAAAGGTAAACGAAAATGGCGTACGTGTTTAAAAGAAATATATTTATATTGTGTAACTTTTTAATTTGTTACTACTGTCGGATTAATAAAACATATTACAGTGTTAATATTGATAACAATTTATAGAGACATCGATGTGTAAAAAATTCAAGATACACTGCGAAAAGTCCACTAAAAATAGAGCGCGTTTAACCAAATTATGTACTCATTTTTAGCCATCCGGCGATGTATTTTTTTTATACAACTTAGAATGGCAAACAAGCTGATGGAAAGTGGTAACCGTCGCCTATAGACATGAGCAGTAAGATGGACATAGGAGAGTACACTGTTTCGCCCATGATACCCCCCATGCGTTGTCATTCCTGAGGACTCAGGTGTTATTCCTTTGTACCCTGTAAATTCTTTGCTATATCCCACCCTTCAAACCGAAACACAACCATGCAAACACAGCTGCTTCGCCGTTGAAACATGAATGGGACAGAGGTACCCAAGCAATCGACTTTTGTACAAAGTCTTCTTCAATATATAATATCAAACGTGCTGAAATGATCTTATATAAATTTAGTAAAATATAATATTTATATAATGGTCGAGGGATGGATGGGCTACTGGTATACCTATTAAAACATGACAAAGCGCGAAACATGATGGACATCTTGTAAATTTGACAAATGCAACATCTTATCGACAATGTTTCTGGCAAATAAATTTCATTTAATTCCATTTCAAGTCTAACCTAACCTAATCCGTCTGCTAAGCATGGCAACTAATGGCAAAACGCCTTAAGAGAAAGGCCTACGTTCAGCAGTAGGCAATTAGCGACTGATAATGATGATATTTATATGTACCATTGCTATTCCCTTCACTCATCTTCTAGAATCTTCTATTCTCATATCTAGACAAGAGACAATTACATTAATAATTACATTACTGAGAAATAATCAACAACATTTATATCATTTTCGATGACTACTTCTTTTAAGTTCAATTCGGGACACTTTGTGACCGTCGTATGAAATGTGAATCTAGGATTTTTTTACATCTATGTATAAAGCACACAATATTTATTTTATAGACCAAGGGCTCTCTTAGTCGAGTTTGCGAAGAGTACAAGTATTGACGGCAACCGCTTCCGTCTGGCGTCGTCCATTTTTTTGTCGTTGGCAAAATGCCATTGGTTTAGAGGAACCGTTTCCCGAATTTCCATGAGCCGCGCCTTTATTACTTGAATATTATGGTCATAAACAGTAACTTATAGAAGCTAAGAGTAGAATAATGATTATTGTATATATATATATATATATATATATGCTGTTATTGTATATATATGTACCAGAGAGAGACAGTACAAAAGTCGTTTGCTTGGGTACCTCTGTCCCATTCGTGTTTCTACCGTGAAGCAGTTGTGTTTGCATGGCTGTGTTTCGGTTTGAAAGGTGGGATATGGCGTGAATTTACAGGGTTCAGAGGAATAACACCTGAGTCGTCAGGAATGGCAACGCATGAGGGGTATCATGGGCGAAACAGTATACTCTGTTATGTCCATGGTACTGCTCATGTCTATAGGCGACGGTTACCACTTTCCATTAGGTGGGCTGTCAGCTTGTTTGCCATTCTGAATTGTACAAAAAAAAATTCCCACTGCGCCAATATCGCTGGCAAGTCAAGTGAAAAGGGACGGGCGAGGAACTTAACTATTTCTCTTTCAAATATGCAATTCCGGATTTTGTGTGAATCCAAACAATTTTTTTCTACAACACAGGGGGCAAAGGAGCATGCGACTCACCTGATGGTAAGTGACTACCTCCGCCCATGATCGCCCACAACACCAACGGTATTGCAGGTGTGCTGCCGGCATTTTAAAAAGGAATATGCTCTTTTCTCGAAGGTTATGATGTCGTATCGGTTCGGAAATACTGCTGCTGGAAGTTGATTCCAAAAAGTAGTTGTGCGTGGAAGAAAGTGCCCTGAGAAACGCACGGTGGAGCACCGTCACTCGTCCAGATGGTTGGGATGAAACTTTAGTTTATGGCGGGTTGTACGATGGTGAAAATCAGCAGCTGGTATCAATCCGAACAATTTCTCAAAGCACTCATGATAAATTCGGTAGAAGATGTACAGAGTTGCAACATCTCTGCGCAGTTTCAGTAAGTCGAGTCGGGCAGTACAGTACAAGTACATTATAACAAACAAATAATAAGAAATAATCACAATAAGAACAAAAAGTATTGTTATAAATATAGCAGTAAAATTACAAAGATACGGAGACATAATAGCATAGTCGTCAGGAATAGTAACGCATGAGGGGAATCACTGATATTTTCCATGGTTCTGATGGTGCCTTCCATGTGTGTTGGCGACGGTGTCAATTTCCATCAGTCGTAACCTTTTTTACTGTTTTTTCCATAAAAAATACTAGTCCATGGCAACGCTACAGGAAATATAGCGACTAACCTGCGCCCCGACCATGCCTTCTCTGAGCCTCGGCAGATCTGTGTGCGAGTACTTGGAGATCGACCACGGCTCCACGACGGTGAGATCGGTGTCCAGCTCGAAATCGTTGATCTGGTTCCGCAGAAACTTCCTGATGTTCCACGGAAGGTCGTTGTGACTGCGAATGATAATGTTTCAGTCAATATGACTTATATTACGTTGAGGAATTGGCTGTGTTCCGCTTCATCATATCAGCTTTTAACTGTTCACTGCTGGTGGACAGTTAAAGGCTGCTGCTTCGCTCTTGGGGTTTTTTTTAATAGATGATAATGGAATGGTAACCTCACCCGCGCTATCGGTATACACCGGTGGGGCACCAGTGAAGGGTGGGTGATTGTTAGCCCATCAAGATGAATTCATTAGAAATTAACCATGATAGTTTCCAGGGGGAACCGCGAGGAGGTCGACCTGGTTGGGTATATTGCTAGCAATGGGATTCTTAGTCTCCATTACTAACAACCCCTTTCCTCCCTGCAACAAGTATTAGTCACAATGGTTTCCAGGGGCAACCGCGTGGAGGTCGACCTGATAGGTCTTGCTAGCAATTGGGCCATTAGTCCCCATTACTAACAATCCCTTTCTCCTTCTTATTTGTTTTGCCAGTAATTGCCACACTTGGCAGGCCGATTGGCAACCGCAGTCAGGCTTAAGATACGAGGACGAAAGATCATGGAAAGGTCGCGGTGTCTCAGGTTTTTCTGCCTGAAAAAAGCCTGTCTTTTGAATAATAATAATAGACATATATGCAGTAATAATAATATAGTTTCTATCCGTGACTTCGACTGCGTGACCGGGATATGTGGATAGTTTGTCCTAAACAAATAACAAAATACCAAATTTTGGGGACGACTGGTCGAGCCGTTAAAGCGTCAAGACACAGACAAACAATTTTACATATAATATAAGTGAGGATTCAGAATTATAAACTATATAGAATAATCTATATTTGTACCAAATTTTATGTAAATCCGTTCAATAGTATCTTGAAAAATTAAAACATAAGTAGGACTCATAAATTTGTGGTTTGCATATTTTTTATAAACATTTCCAAAAATAAAAAATAAAAATAGGTATATTTTTATTTCGATAAAATTAGTATGAAGTCAACGGGACTGAGTACTTTTAATTAAGAAAACAATCATTTTGAAGAGATTTTACTTCAAAATTGATAAATAATATCATTTAAATAAATTACATTATTCGACGTGACAATTTTTTTTTTTACAACTTAGAATGACAAACAAGCTGACGGCCCACCTGATGGAAAGTGGTAACGTGGTATGTCGCCTATAGACATGAGCAGTACCACGGACATAACAGAGTATACTGTTTCACCCATGATACCCCTCATGCGTTGCTATTCCTGAGGACTCAGATGTTATTCCCCTGTACCCAGTAAATTCACGCCAAACCTTTCAAACCGAAACACAGCCATGCAAACACAAATGCTTCGCGGTAGAAACACGAATAGGACAGAGGTACCCAAGCAATCGACTTTTGTACAAAGTCTCCCTTTAGTAAAATTTATTTGAAAAATTGACTCTAATATGTCTAAAACTGTTACTAATCGCATTACTCGCTATATGGTCCTGGAATAGGATGGGCCATCCCTTCCTTTCCTATGGATGTCGAAAGAAAGCGATTAAGGGAAGGCGAAGGATGAATAGCATCGTTCCTCTTAAAACATCTTCAAAGCCTGATTTTTGCCAATCCACCTGCCAATCCGTATATATGTGTATAATATAGTATATGTCATACATGTGTAAGTATATTTGTTACTATTTATATATATTTATTCGTTTATATATGTAATTTTAGTATGTATGTATATCAATAATTACTAGTACCTCATTCGAGTATTCTGACACTTCCCTACGGTTGACTGGGAGAGAATGCTTTTAGCATTAAGTCCGCCATGTACCTACACATATTTGTACTAATGAATAATTAAATAAATGCGTAGTAACTATTGGCAAAACTCTCCAAGGGGAAAACTTATGTTCAGCAGTGGACAATTAAGAGCTTATATGATGATGATGAGGTGATGAAATCGTGTTATTCATACAAAAAAAAAAACTAATTAAAAACCTGTTTTTCAAAGAATAAAAACAAAAGGCGAGCGTTACTTGCGTTTTGTTTAACTGTAAACGAAGCCAAATTAGAATATCAGAATATCTATTTGCCTAAATGAGCTGCAGACTAAAAGGTTTCAAATTTATGGCTGTATAAACACCCATAATGTAGCTGTGTAATGCGCCGCAATTAATTTCCGAAATTATCGGAGTTTCACAACAGTAAGTCCACCGATGATAATGTACTATTTATTTATACTCGGCGGAGTATTTACAATATAGATGTTCCAACGTTTCCTAATTTATATAATTCAATATTTTGAAAAAGAAATTTGAATTTGGAATTGGCTAAACACAATGGGCTAACTGTACTACTTTCATCGTCACATATCTATCATCCTTCACTGGTGCCTCACCGGCGTATACTGATAGCGCAGGCGGGGTTACCATTCCATTATCACCCATTAAAAAAAAATATACACGGGAAAAAAATTCATAATTATAAAATCCAATTTAGTAGTAGTTCTTGCATGATACAAGAACAGACATACGGATAGACAAATGATAATATATTTTTTTTTAATTTTATGCCTTCTATTGCTCTTAATAAGATCTCTTATATCGAATTCAATAATAATTCCATATATTAACAGGATCAAATTTTTGACTAACTGTCACATTAATAACGCATCCCAAAAGGGGGGAAAGGGGTTGATAGTAATGGAGACTGAGAATCACATTGCTAGCAATATACCCAACCAGGTCGAACTCCTCGCGGTTCCCCCTGGAAACTATCATGGTTAATTCCTGATGAATTCATCATTATGGGCTAACTGGCCTGTTTTCATTCTCATCTATCACCCTTCACTGGTGCTCCGCCAGCGTATCCCGTTAGCGCAGGCGGGGTTACCATACCATTTTCACCTATAAAAAAATAACGCATCCCAAAACTGCGCTGATCAACGGAGGGGAAATCGAACAAGTTTGTTATATTGTAACCAAAACAAATTCACGCACAAACACAAATTGTTTTATTTCGAGTGGATGTTTTAAATTACTTTAGAATTGTTGTTCGAAATATTGTTTGTTCGGAGGCAAGAACTACTTTGCTTGAATACAAATATGTTTGCAAAACTATGCTCTATGGGAACAATGGAATAGCGGAATGTTTATTTAACATCATAGGTATATTGCCTTTATATTAAACTAGCTTTTGCCAGCGGCTCCGTTCGCATGATTGGGACATGCTTAATCGTGCAATCGACTTAAATTATACTTTCAAGCGACTACAAAATGAAGGAGTCGTCAATTCGGATGTTTTTTTTTGCGATTTTTACCTCATAATCCCGTGAGTTTAAAATTTATTTGGAAAATTTATCTGTTTATCTGATATGCTATACTAACAAATTGGTGCTATAGAAATTTTATCAAAATCAGTTCAGTAATTATTATATTAGTATAATTGGTACTGCCACAACTGAAATCTTTTTTTTTCTGAAATATAGCAAACAACAAAAACATAAGAGATAGAATAGTTTTTATCCCTGTAAGAAAAAAAAATACCTAGTAAGTGGCGGTAGCATATAAAAGAACGTTTGCTGGGTGACTAATTGACAGAGAGGGAACAGAATATGTTTTTATCTCTTTCCATTCTCACGACATTATAAGAAACAATTAGGAAACCAAAGAACTGCTTTGGAAGAAGAAAAATATTTTTTTATGCAACTTACAATGGCAAACAAGCTGACGGTCCACCTGATGGAAAGTGGTAACCGTCATCTATAGACATGAGTAGTACCATGGACATAACAGAGTACACTGTTTCGCCCATGATTCCCACCATGCGTTGCCATTCCTGAGGACACAGATGCTATTCCTCTGTACCCTGTAAATTCATTGCCATATCCCACCCTTCAAATCGAAACACAGCCATACAAACACAACTGCTTCACGGTAGAAACTCGAATGGAACAGAGGTGCACAAGTAAACGGCTTTTGTACGATTTAATTATATTATAACTAAATCAAAGTCAGAAATTCAGAACTGTATACTAATTCGCTTAACTAGCACTGGGATAGAATCTTAAACCTTTCTCTTATGAGAAGAATTCCTAGTCCAGTAGTGGGACAACAATTAGTCGTTTTAAAAGATGAAAATCAACGATAATAAACCTGCATTATCCAAGTGACGGCGGTAGGCTCGCTGTCATATTTGATTCCAAAATGGTCGCTGAAATGTGCATATGTCGAATATTCACCACAACAGTAATAGTTGACAAATATCTCTAACTAGTGATGTGTCGTGTCGACCTATTACGATTATCGAACATTTTGGTACTCGTTAAAAAAATAATCGAGTCCTGACTCGAGTCTGAGGACTCAGATAAGTGTTCGAGTACTTGTACGAGTATTCGAGTACTTTTGTTATAGAGGACATATAATAGCAATATAATATATAAGGTAATGGAAAGACAGGTGAAAAAAATAGTGAATGATAATAATGAATTCATAATAATGAAAAATGTATTATGTTTATTTCCTTTCTATAACACAAAGAAATCATTAATAGAAAAATAAAAGTCAACGCTTTGTCAGACTCGAATACTTTCCAATTGATATGAAAAGATTAATTTTATTAAGATAAGTAAGTTAGTAATTTAATACTTTGTCTATGATAATTAAAGATAAAAAAAAATATTGAAACAGATAGAGAAAAATCAGCATTTCATTTCAACCCTCAACTGTCCACTGATGAACATAAGCCTTCCACATGAGAGTTGCCAGCAGTTGCCACGCTTGGCAGGCGAGTTGGCAACTGCAGTTAGGCATTTAGAGATCTTTTAAGAGGAACGCTGCTGCTCATCCCTCTATCATTTAATTCCCTTAGTCGTTTCTTCACCCACGGGAAAGGAAGCAATGGCCTATTCTATGCCGGGACCACACGAAAAACTAATGATAAAAACAAAAGTACCAAAAGTTGTATTAGAGTAACGTGCGTTCGAGTTCTGATTATTGTGTACTAAATATCTATTAAGTATTCGAGTCAATACTCGAATTAGCTTGACTCGGCACATTACTACCTCTGACTATTTGTCGTTGAGCACATACATATTTTAAAATGACATCCATACAAATTTAAATAACGATATTTTATCAATTTCTGTAACAAATTTACTTAATTTAAATTGACGTGCATGTTACAGACGGTAAAGATAAAATTGTTCGCTGAAGAACCAAATGAAATCTGTTCCGGTCGCTTGCGTGCGGAACCCTAAAAGGAATAAACAAATGAACAATTCACAGCAACATTCGCCGCTCAATTCAGCCGCTCCGCAATTTAATACTCGTATGCTGTTTGTCACGCGCCCATCGAATGTACGCTCACATTTACAAGGGACAATCCGCGAATGGATAAACTGATTTTCCGGGTCCAAAATTAGAAGAGTACGGTTGGACCAATTTAAAATTTTATAATCAAATATTTTATCTTCACGCCGTGATCCTTGCGGAGTACGTGTAGAGAATAGAGCGCTAAAACCTATTATCCTTATATGCATCTCTCGCTTTCTGTTTTTTTATAAATCGTCTCATACATGCACGCTGGAATCAAAGAAAGGATCTCCGGGATTTTTTGTCAAGTCATGGAGAAAAAAAAGTCCCTCTTCCAAATAGAACATGGCTTAATAATGGCAAATCTAGTAGTTCCACAGAGAAATAAACGCCATGTTTTAAAGAAAGTAGTTAAGTATGAAAATAGACGTAATATATATAAATAATGGATGGACGTAAAGACAGGGTACCGAAGAGACTGTGGATGGAATGTTTAAAAGACGCATAAAAGATAAGTAAGACCAGGAGTAACAGTTGACACGAATTTGTGAAAAAACAAAACATACTGTTTCGATTTCAAATAAATAGGAAAATTAAGGCATTGATTTATTTATTTTTATTTATTTATTCATTAAAAATAATTATAACATTATAACAGCCAACACAAATACAATACATAGTCAATGTGCGTCGCCGTGTATGTCCCGGCATAGAATAGGCCACCCTTTCTTTTCTCGTGCCTGTCGTAAGAGGCGACTAAGGGAGGACGAGGGATGGACTGAAGCCTGACTGCAGTTGCTAATCCGCTTGCCAAACATGGCAACTACTGGCAAAACTCTCCAAGGGCGAGGCTTATGATCAACAGTGGACAGTTAAAGGCTGATATGATGACAATGATACTATAAATTTGAAAATAGCAATTATTGTGCGATCCATTGGTAATTGTTAAAAATATTTTTTCTTGTAATACTATTGCAAATATTGTAGTAGTTTCGTATCGAATAAATCGAGCTTGACTCACCCATCGGTGAGGGGGACTTCTTCCAAGATCTGCTTCGCGATCTCCAGCCTCTCACGGTCGTACGATGCAGCCGCCACAACCGCTATTATGGCCAGGAGTATGCATGCTACTGCACGCCTTTCGCACGGATTCACCATTCTCACTGCAACAGAAAAGACAGGGCATTGATCATATTGTCTAAAGAAAAGAACAAAAAAGTTCAAAAAGGGTACTCTAAAAAGGGCGTAAAGGGTTCTTTAAAAAGAGCGTTCAGGGTTATCTAAAAAGAGCGTAAAGGGTTCTCTAAAAAGAGCGTAAAGGGTTATTTAAAAAGAGCGTAAAGGGTTCTCTAAAAAGAGCGTATAAATTCTCTTCGGGATTACTATCGCATATGTTATACTCCTGGCAGATGTCTACCATAACTGTCTATTAATGGTCGTATGCTTGTTGGCCAGCTTTTTGGTATAAACAATATGACTTGGAATGGTAAAAGCTAATGGGTTATCAGATCGAAAGTGACTTATAAACCATGTTTTTATTTTATACCACGATTTTTTTTATACTGAGGTGGCAAACAAGCATACGGCCCATCTGATGGTAAGCGGTTACCATAAACTATGAACGTCTGCAATACCAGAGGTAGTACGTGCGCGATGCCGACCCTGGAGAAACCTCTTTGCCCCCTTTTGAATAACTCCATGCTGTAGTCTCTTGGGAACCCCTCGGCAGGGCGCTCATTCCATAACCTGAGTATTCGTGAGAAAAAATATATCTGAAACCGCGTTGTATGCGACTATTTAGGTTGTAGGGTATGAGGGTGAATTCCCTGTCGATGGCAAATAAGCACACATCCCGTTTGATGGTAAACGGTTACTGTAGCCTATAATAGATGCCTGCAATATTGGGGGTGTTACGTGTTCGTTGCCGACCCTGAAGAACCCTTAATATATCTTTTTGAAAATCCTCCAAACTGTAGTTCTAGAGAAAACTTCAGCAAAGAGCTCATTCCACAATACACTGGCATTATGATCCCCATATTTTTTACGTATTCTTATTCTTGAGAACTAGTGATTAATAATTTTATTTCACTATTCTACCCTTCAAACGAAATTAAGTCACATAACTACTATTTTTGAAAGTTGGCAAATATCTATGGATGTCCAAATGTTTGATACTAAGGTTGCAATCCAATGAAAGTTGGTATGCAGATAGATTATGTCCAAGATCGGCATAGAAAATACTTTATATCCTTAATGTAATAGACAAAGCTACGAGAGTCATTTTTTTTTTTGCTACTTAGAATGGCAAACAAACTAACGGCCCACCTGATGGAAAGTGGTAACCCTCGCCTATAGACATGAGCAGTACCATGGACATAACAGAGTATACTGTTTCGCCTATGATACCTCCCATCTATTGCCATTTCTGAGGACTCAGGTGTTCTTCCTCTGTACCCTGTAAATTCACTGCCATATACCACCCTACAAACCGAAACACAGCCATGCAAACACAACTGCTTCACGTTGGAAACACGAATGGGACAGAGTTATAAATAATGAAAATAATAATGTTCCTCTATAAAAGAATCTATTTCATACACTTCATTAAATCAAATAATCAGAAAACAAAAGTAAAAAAAAAAAATATAAATGAAACAAATACTTTTAGAAATAATGAATACAACACGATACCCTGTAATTGTCAGTAAGGCGAAATATATTTTACTTGTTTTTTCAACAGTAAAGTTACATGACCTTTATAAGACAAAAGATCCCTCGGGTACGAAAGCTACACGCGGAGAGCAAAGTTAGCGGTACCCCTGTAGGTTATTTGAGGTCGATGAACTCTATGTTTCATAAGTAATCGACTCGATCCAAGTTGTTGAGCAGGTTATGGTGAGAGTTATACTCGGAGTTTGACTACGCGGTAAAACAGAACGTCTGCAAAATAACTAAAGTATAGTATAGCCGACATAATAGTTGGAATTCAAAATGTCTAACGACTAATCAATACAAAGTTAGTTGAACTGTGCTTTAGTAATCGATAATCTGTGGTGAAGAAAGATTCTTGATAAATATCTCGTGCAGGCAAGTTTCTTTTTTATACAACTTAGAATGGCAAACAAGCTGACGGCCCACCTGATGGAAAGTGGTAACCGTCGCCTATAGACATGAGCAGTACCATGGACATAACAGAGTATACTGTTTTGCCCATGATACCCCCCATGCGTTGCCATTCCTGAGGACTCAGGTATTATTCCTCTGTACCCAGTAAATTCACACCATATCTCACCCTTCAAACCGAAAAACAGCCATGCAAACGCAACTGCTTCACGGTTGAAACACGAATGGGACAGAGGTATTCAAGCAAACGACTTTTGTTCAGTCTGGTAATTGTCCATAAATAACTTTATACCTTTCAGTCTCTTTTTAAATGGATGAAAATAGAATGGGAGTGTACGCTGTCGGTTTATTCTGGCAGGGAATCAGTGTGAGATAAAGATGATGGTTAAATCATGTTATGTCGTGATTTATTCACCAGGAATTAACCACGATGTGTGGAAGTCGATCTGACAGGTATGTTGTTCACACTGGAGCCATTCATTGCCATTGCAACAATTTCTTTACCAATAACTTGTGGTAAAAGTATGTGATTTTACCGTAAAATGGTAACTAATGTTCTGATGATGCAGATCCTAAAACGATGCAGATGATGCAGTTAAACATTAACACCTCGTTAGTTGGCGATCAGTTTATTTAACTGACAAATAATTATTTAATTTAAGATTACTTATGGTTACTAAGATATAGCATTATGATGTACATATAAAATAAAAATGTAATTAGAAGATTTGACAGACAGACATTGAGGAAATTGTTTTAATTTCTACTTCATTTATGATTGTATTTCATAAAAAAAAAAGAAATCAAAACCCTCTTTACTTTGATTTAAAAACTAAACTATTCATTCGATTTTGAAAAAAAAAATCTATGAAACCAATGTATTTTTACTGAAAAAAAAAACTCCAAAACGGTTCATAACTGTCAGAGTTATGATGTAACATACATAAAGAAAATCACAATCGAATTCAGAACCTCTTTTTTTAAGTAGTTTGAAAATAAGTATAATTTACTATTAATTTTTTTTACTTTTAATTTACGAAATAATTTACGTAATAAATACAAATATGATATTTGTCTACCAACAATAAATAGTTACACATATGAAAGGAGTGCAATTGTAATGGGTATTAAATTATTTAACCATCTTCCCTTAAACATTAAATGTCAGGACAAGCATATGTTTAAAATTAAACTCAAAGCCTGGCTTTTTGATAATGTGTTTTTATAATTTAAATGAATACTTTAATCTTAAAACTCATTAAATTAATAATTAATAATAATTGACATGTAAGCGAAATTGTGTTTATTTTATTTTAATTTGGTTATGATTATTCTTTGTCTTGTTAATTGTATTGTCAAATATTTCCTATTTATTTGTAATCAAGTAATGGTAATAGTATTTGAATGTTTTGATGTTAATATAATTACCTGTTCTTAAATTGTTGCATGCCTGATAGGGTATAACTGTTGATACTGATGTCAAATTCTAAGCAATGGTTACTGCTGTACGAGTATGTATGTACACAGTTAGCAATAAAATTCTATTCTATTATATTCTAAGAAAAAAATAGAAATAATTTAATGCAAAATTTAATGACATAAAATACATAACATACCTTAATAATAATACAATACATACAGTAATACACAAACTTTATTAAAATCAAGCTACGCCATTATTCCGTAAAATCAGTTTCAGGCTTCGTTACATACCATAAAACCACATAGGGGTGTCCTCAAACAACCGCTATTGAACCCTTTGTTATTATTTCCCTTATTCCGTTTTATTGTCTATTAAAAATAAAATAAATAAGTTTACGACTGTAACCTTTTTTGGGGTAGTCAGAAATATGGGTTGGTTATTGCCAATATGATGAGTTGCCGTAGAGTGGTCAGAAAACTAAACTAGAAAACCTAAGACCTTTCGGACGAGCACCAAGTTCCTTTTAAGGATGGCGGTGAACAAAATTAAGATCACTATGATGATTGCCGTGTGGTCCCGACAAAAAAATAGGCCACCTCCTATCCTGTGGGTATTTATTTATTTTATTTATTCATTAGTACAAATATGTGTACATGGCGGACTTAATGCTAAAAGCATTCTCTCTCAGTCAACCATAGGGAAGTGTCAGAATACTCGAATGCAGTACTAGTAATTATTGATATACATACATACTAAAATTACATATATAAACGAATAAATATATATGAATAACAAATATACTTACACATATATGATATATACTATATTATACACGAATTTGGGAATAATATAAAAGTCCTGAGTCCTCAGGAATGGCAAAGCATGAGGATACCCCTCATGCTTTGCCATTCCTGAGGACTCAGGTGTTATTCCTCTGTACCCAGTAAATTCACACCATATCCCACCCTTCAAACCGAAACACAGCCATTCAAACACAACTGCTTCACGGTTGAAACACGAATGGGACAGAGGTACGCAAGCAAATGACTTTGTACAAAGTCTCCCTCTGGTTTATTTTTCTGGAAAATAATCTTAAAAATCATAATCTTAAAAAATTAAGAACTGAAAATGTTGTCACGTGCGCTATTAGTATGTTAGTGGCGAGTTACCAATAAGCAACGATAGGTGAGGTTTAAGTCAGGCCAAGCGATCTTCATCGGGAACTAACCAAAATAGTTTTAGAGAAATCACATCGGATCTGACAGGAGATATTGCTTGTAATGGGGTCGTTTGTTCCCATAAGTAACAATCCCTCCTCTCTGTTATCGGATCGACTATAATCGAAACTTTAAATCAACACAAAAACTTTTTGGCGTCCGCCAAATCCGAACTGACGACCTTCGGGATCAGTGGAAAAAGGATTACTAGGGTTATATATAGGTCAAATAGCGCGTTTGTTTGTAACAGCCGCTATTAGGTAGACCTTTACGCGGACTGTTTTGGAAACCATTGTTAATTCCTCGTGAAGTCGTCATGATGGATCTCACTGGTGCCCCGTCAGAGTACTTCGGTTGTGCAGTTCAAATTGCCGTGAAGTCCCGACATAGAATGGGTAAC